AAACATTTATTCCGAAAAGAAATTGATATGGGATTTGTGTTACGACGCGCTAATTTACGCAAGTACAACGTTCGCCAAATACAAATGGTACATGACAAACCAAGCTAATGTGGATAATCACCGGACACGGTAGTTACTGCCACAGAAGCCAATGATTAAGATTAATATTAGCGAGTCTGACAGCAACGATGTTATCGTGTCGTGCGACACGCACGTAACAGAACGTAGAGAGAAAGCCATTTGTATTATTAGAACTGTATTCTCAATATAATAGAGGCTTATAATAGCGAACACTAATAATAAAGAAGACTAATTTTAGGTACTTTTTAATTATTTTAATTATTTAAAATAAAATTACGCCCTTATACGTTCGATATCTTTTTCTTAAATAAATTAAGTGTAAAATCGGAAAAATCTTGCAAATAACAAAATCTCTTGACAATTAATTGCAAAACACAATAACCATAACTCAATTTAATATGAATAATTACTAGACATTATAATTATAATGATTAAGATTAATATCATAATCTCTCATATCATATCAGCAGACCTAAGTAAGAACGATATTATCATCGGATGCGACCAAGAAACACCAGAGAGTTCATAATGTAACAATTGTGCAGAAGAATGACATGTTCTATGTAAATTATTAATATAATAATTAATATAAATGAAAAATTTTGCAGTCCTACACAGTAAAAAACAATATAAAAATCAATATAAAAAACAATATAAAAATATAGAATAATAATGTAGTACAACGTAAATATAAGGTAAATATAACATAAATATTTTTATAATAATTCGCGCATAAAAATATTTTACTATCTTTTATTTTAACATTGTTTCAAAAATATAAAATTGTCTTAAACTAAAATATAAAAATATTTTAAATTGTTTTAAAAATATAAAATAAATAATTAATCTTAAGAAACTTTTTTAATTGTAATATTCATTAAAAAAATTAATAAAAGAGATTTATAAAGCATGTAATTATTACATGTAAATACACAATGAATACAATTATTCATCAGACCTAATGATTACTATCGCAGCATTCAACAATTAACATTAATATTACCTAATGCAGTAAAATGTGTAACATGTTGTTGTTATTATTATAATGCACACACAGATTATCTGAATAATTAAAATAACTAGTCTATAGAGAATAAACGTAGCGTGCAAAAAAATCTCGATATTAATATTATTTCATTTTACAACTAGAAACAGCTATTTAAAATGTCGTATTCTATCAACTGAAAATATTTTCACGTAACTCCTTTACTCCGTCTAATTAAAAAATTAAATTATACCCGACTCTTCAAGATATTCACGATTGCGACGAAACTTTGCATCTGGCTTGCCTCTTCCAGCGCTAAACTTCGAGTCATCTCCGTGAATAATATTCTTGGTCGCTCGTGGCCCATTTCGCAAACGCAGTCGCTCACGACAGAGGCAATTTCGCTTCCGATACACGCATAGATCAGCTTCAAACAACTGACGGTATTAAAGACAGTTCCCGAAGCGCACACGGAGAATAAGCCTAGGTAACTCCAAGGTGAAGTTTTCGGAAGGTGGGAAATTCGCCTGCACGTTCCGAAGCATCCTCGCTACGCATCCCCGCTTATAAAGGGCGGTCTCCGTAGTGAAATAAAAACGCGCCAGGTCGTTCTAAGGCTGTAATTAATTAAACCACCTGTCTTATACAAGAGCGTCAAGTGTGAACCACCCTCTTCACCGCAACCGTGTCTCGACAGATCAGTCTGCTGCGTGCGCGCGCGTCTATGCGGAGCACTCGGTCGTGATATTCCTGGCTTAACGCCGCCCTCATCAAAATTGTAATTAAACTCCATACACGTAGTTCTCGATTCGGGCAGCTAATGCGTTCGCGACAGCTAGGCGTGTAAATAAATTCGCGCGGAACGAGTACAAGCGTAATTCTCTCACATTAAATGTTGGCGATCCTTTGTTGAGCGCGCGGCTCCAGTTTACGGATTTTCATCCGTTTCCAGCTCGCGGGTAGTTTTTTAACTCACTAATTGCACAAGCCGAGAATTACTCTTACCTCCATCATAAATTTAAACGAATTACTTTATTTAACATGCACGCTGTAAACGCAGTATAGCGTTTCTAGTATACGTACGAGACAAACGTGATGAAATGAGATACCATCGAGAAAAATTCCTGGACTAATCTTGAAAGACTAGTACAAAGTAGCAAGTTCTTCGTGCTAAGTAACGTAGTAAACAAACATCCAATATCATTTTACAAAAATTTTTGTGATAATTAATGTGTATGTAAATTAAAATTTGTTATTTTCTATGCTGTATATAAATATGATTTTTAATAAATAAAATAGTATATTTTTATATTCCTAAAAAATGTTAAAAAAACGTTATATATCTAAATTAAAATGAAAAGTAATGAATGCGAGTGTAATATTAGAAAAGTAGTGAAGTGCGAGTGTAATTCAAAGTCAGAAAAACCACCATTGAAGCTTATCATCGTTAGATCGAACGTTGTACGAATATTACGTAGATTTTTTTTTCCATAAGCAAGATTATTAGAAAAAAAAGCCGAACTCCATTGAGCTAGTACGCTTATCCATCGGGCTATTTCGTTATTCTAAAAGTCTGTTGATTCGCTGATTTTCGCAAACATCCATCCTTGTGTTTCCCCGTTTCGATCTCTCCGCGTTCTCGCCCCCTTCTCGGCAAACATAGCAATCGTCGAAAAAGCGTCGAGAGAAATCAAATGAGTTTGCGCGGGAGTGACAATGGAGTTTTGCGACTGTAATCAAGCTACTACGAGTGACGCGGGAAAAGGGACCGCCGTGGAGGGTGCAGGGACCGTCCTCCGCATTTGAATTTCCACGCCCAAAGGGAAACGAGGTGCCACACCGATAGCGCCTAGAAATCGTCCGCGGCGCGACGGCGATAGAGACATTGAATTAAGCACGATGCAGACCCTTAATTAAACGCTCGAAATTGAGCCATCGATTAAATACTCTCTCTCTTTACGGTAAGAACTTGGACCCTTCTTCGGCGGGCGAAACCGAAACGTCTGAATTATCGGCGTGAATTCGCGTCGTTCAAAGATACGCTTTCCCGTACATGAATAAAAGATTGTATACGATAAAGCGTAAAAAACGCGTGAGAAAATTTTATACGTATTGCAGATCAATATTTTAAGAAAGGACTATTCAATTTGCCAACTGTCTTGCCGCATCTTTTTTATTTCCGGTATATATCTTGTCAATTAAGTGGAAATTCTCTTCTGTTTCACATTGTTCGTCGCTTATTTTGAAACAAAAGAAAGAAGAATTATTTCTTTGCCATTATATGCGAAATATAATCTCTTATACGGAAAATAATCCCTCCAAAAATATGATAATTGCACATGCGCATTCCACGTTTTCCTTAGAAAGACGTGACACTAATCCCGGTAATTAAAACAATTTCGCGTGTAAAATGCGCCATAACCGTAACACAAACAAACGCAGAAAGTAAAGTGACACATAAATATCTTTCGTTGTTAAAAGAGTATATATGTAAGCAGAATTGCACCCCGTGCTAATGGATAACTTTAAAAAACAATCCAGACTTGGCGCTGCCAATTTGTGCCATTGTTGTTTCATGCCAGTTACGCGCGTCGATTATTATATGGAAGTGCGAACAGTATATCGTAATTGCAATCGAATTTATATTTATCGATAAACCAAAAAGCAACTTAACGTACCGCAGCGGGAAAAGATCAACCTTTTCTTGCAAATTACCGTAATTGGCATAGTTCTCTGGAAGAGGAGTATCGATCTCTATCTCTCGAGGGTCTAGGACTTTGTTCAACCGCTACTCGAATTATCTCGTAATTGGCGGCACAAATAATCAAGCGCGATTCTGTATTTTTTCAAAATACAGAAACAAAAAGAAGAATACAAATCCAACTTAATTTCATCATGTTAGTTCTATTAACAAGATGAAAGACATGATAACGCGTCTTCATTAACTTATCAACTCGTTTCTTATTGACTTGTTTCTCTACCTGCTCTACACGACAACAAAAATCATTATAAAAGAAACATATAAAAAGGCACGATATTCGTAGAGTAGAAACGAATGAATAGCTGTCATCATCGATTGCGTTTCCGCGTGATCTAGCCGCGGATGTTGCTTTCGCCTGTGGCGTCATGCAGCGCGATGAGCGTCGAAACACGACGATATAACCAGCGGGAGAGCTATTTTACGAGAGAAGACTTTTCCGCACTTTACACACGGCATTAATCGTCACCCCGTTTTTCACACTAACCGGCCGAGTCTGAAAGCGTGAAGTACTGCGGTTTCTTGGCGAATTGCCGTCCCATAAGCGAAATAGAAAATATGTCCTTATATCCTTATTATGAACATTTTCGTACGAGATAATACAATTTTACGATAATGAAGTTTAATAACGTTGTTTATGACTTTTACAGCCAATTTTTCTCTCTTTTTTTTTAAATTTTATTCTTTTTAATATGATCGTCAATTTTATTAATAAATTCCTATCAGTGTTTAATGTACGCCATTTTACATCCGCTGTTTATCATTAAAATAAAATTCATGTGATAATTTTATTTAACGGAAATATTCGTGATGATAAAAGCTGTTATCGAAAAAAAGTTAGAAGACATAACAAAGCATTTAAATGCGCAATACTTGAATTTCGAACTGTTTTGAAAATATTTACGATATCGAAGTACGACGCAAAATTTAATCTTGATCCTGATTGATTGATAAAAAAAATTATATCCATCAATTTAATGAAAATACATGATTAGACACTTGTACGCACACACACACACACACACACACATACACACACACACACACACACACACACACACATACACACACACATACACACATACACATCATCTATTGGACTTGTATCCTTCTAATAAAAGTTTCTTTTGACATTTCTTTGAAATGAATCTCGACCTGAGATTCACGCAGGCTTACCTGCTATCACGAGGAAAGCGACGGTCGCTTCTAGCCACAGGTGGCAAGTCTTCATCTCGACGTCGCGTATGAAAAAGCTCGACGATTCCTCGGCGATCACCACTCGCGGGACTCACAGACACACTGAGAAACACCACTCTCGCGCGGCAGTCAGGTCGCGTGCGAAATTACCCGGCACCACATCTGTCCGTTCAAAGGGCACCTTTGCTTTCTCTCTCTTTTCGTCGGTTCGATCGTTTCGGAAGAGTCGTCGCAATTACAGATGTATCAACAACAATATCGGGCGATGTCCTCAAGGCAAGGTTACCACACTTCTAACTGCCTGAGCGCGCGGCCCAATCGTACTGACGCGCGCCGCGGATTCACCCTCCGTGAGACTCCGTGAAAACACGTCAAAGCAACCCCCTCCGCTACTTCCTTCGCGACGGAGGAGCCGGTCGAATTCAAATCATCGGGTAACGAGTTTATTTCTTCGCGCGCACCCGCGTGATTCAGAAACCTGCCTCACGACTGTCACTTTCGTTCCCCGAGTTTGGTTTTTTTTTTTTTTTTCTTTATCTTTTCTTCCACGTGTCGATCGCGATGTAGAGCGATCGCGGACGATTCGTCGGCGAGCGTTATCGATCACTGTGTGTATCAATGAGCGCGACACGAGCACGAACGGTGGATTTTAAGCACTGTTGACAGGGTAATTGCACGTATATCTGCACTGGATTGCGACGGACGAGACTGAACGTCGCCGCGCGAAGCTGTTCTGTCTCGAATCGCGCCTGCGTCGACCGCCCTTTTATCCCCACCAGCGCGCGCCGACGATCTCGCAACCTCTACTATCCCCCAACTCCGCCGCCACTGCTGCCGCCGCCGCCGCCGCCGCCCCTGTCCCGCCGTCCAGTGGCCTCTTCGTTCTCTCCTTCGCGCTCCTCAGCATCTCTCGCCGGTTTATCCCGTTTTCATGGGGGGGAGTCGCGCGCGATCTCGTTTTCTCGTCTTCCTCCCTAACATTCACTTCTCGAACGGCCTGCACCCCGCGCACCGGTCACACGCACACACGCGGATACAAGCTCCGAAAAGAAGCCCGCGATTTTATTCCGCATCTTCCGCACGCCATAGGGACGACTTGCCTGCCGGCAGTTCCGAGACCTTCGAATTCAATTTGTTCGTCGGCCGAAAGTTTTTGTCGAATGAATGCGGTTTGTTACGCGTGTCATCACTCGACCGGCATTAGGGCCATTGTCGGCTCGCGCCGCACGCCCGTGTTGTGTAGGCTGATAAAACAGACCTTTTCAAGGATACCTGTATTCATCTCTACCGAATCTATTTTTAGTCTTATATTTTACTCCCAATTAATAATAATAAATAACAAAATGGTACGTGGAAAGATAATACACGGTTTTATTGAAGCAGCTAAAGATTTGCTCTCAGATCTGAAAAGTAATTTCATTAATTATGGAATAGAATGCTTAAATTGGACGCACTATAAAAGTTTTTGTCATTATGTTTGAGCAATCTACGTTATTTTTAAGTCTGCATATGTGACTAAATTTTATACTGATGCAACAAAACCCCGCATGCGTTTTTGTCAGCTTAGTACACATCTCAAAATTGGATCGGTTGCTTATATTTATATTACACCGTTATATTTACACCGTTCTCTAGTTTGAAATTTATGTATACGCCCAACGCTAAAATTCATATTTATATACCGTTTGAAATACTCGGTAAATGATTAGTAATAAAATAAAAGTCATAATAAAAGAAGATAAAAATATTCTCTTTCTTTATCTTTTTCTCGTATTTTGTATGCTTTTCTTTCAATTCAAATATTTAATTTGTCTCTATTATTCTGATCCCATAAAGATATATATATACATTACATTTTATATATTTATATAAAATGTGTGATTCGTTCTGTACCTACAGAATAATACATTGACCTCCGTGTGATACGTTGCGAAAACATATATCTACATTGTCTCCTGCATCCCGGAATTGATCCTCGCCGCGCGGATTGCGTTACCCGCAGGCGCCACAAACTACGTAATGACCTATGTTGATCGTTCGCTCAGGGCCTCATGTCGAAAACACCGAAGCAGAGCGAATGGGCATAATATATTCCGTGGTGGGAGCGATAGATCATAGATCAGAGACCTGGCTTTATCGATGCCATTTGAAAATGTTTTGTAATAAGAATGCACTATTGTTATAGGATGCAAGAGGACTTGTTTGTTACGCGTCGAAAAGATCTTAAACTTTAAACTTCAGAATCTCCAGATAAGAATTTAGAGTTTTAGAATCTATGATGAGAGTCACGAATGAAAAGAGATAATTAATTTCAACGCAGATAACACGTACGGTATTAATAAAAGATATAACGAAATGAATAAGATGCCATTGGTACACGCGTATACTATTGAATCCCAATATTGCTCTCCGCTTTGTGCTACTCTGGCAATTCTAGTTGGAAATGAGCAGATATTTCAACACACAATAGCAGGGGCTAAAGCGTTACGAGTTTCATCCCTCATTCTTCGATCAATCGAATGTATTATCCCGAAGAACAATAACGCAACGACGTTAAAGCCATACATTAATTTTGACAAAATTCTAAGATATAATATTAAAGAAATTTATTATCTTATTTATCAATCTAAAAATAATCGTGTTAATTCTTCGGTAACTATTTAACTTCGGTTCTGTTTAATAAATGTCTTTTAAAGATAGATTAACTTCCAAAGGTTTCCGGGATTAGAACTTTCCGCGTCGACAGATTATGCAGTATTAAGAGTTGGACCGTTCATTTTCAAGGGGGAAATTTGGAAAATTTCATTAAAATAAGTATATCATCAATAATGTCGCATCTTGATTCGTTGTGGTCGGAAACTCGGCTTACACCACTTTCAGGATTAACAGCTCAATTACTCCTGCGAAACTTAGCCGCAATTCACGCCGTGGTATCTCGTACATCTCATTAATCGAGCGATTACATGTTTAATGAAGTGCGAACGTCTAAAATGTACTTGGAGATTAATTAGGACGCGACTATTCTTAGATGCAGTCAAACTTTCGCCGGATGTCTTGCGCGCGCGATGGGATTCTGGAGTTCGCTATGTAAGGCTTTAGATTAGAGCGGATAATTCTGTTCGGATTTACGCGTGCGCGAATTTCCAAGTGACTGTACAGATACGCGAAAAGTTCTCGGATTGCTTAGAGACGACTGGCGTCGATCGCCGCGCAAGGATTTCCGAGTAAAAAAATAAAAGTTAAGGGGAAGAGGTAATATTCCCTTATCTCTCTATACGTCAAAACATAAAAGTCGCATAAAAACGCCGGTCGTTGCGAAAAGCGTGTTGAAGCATGATCCGCATTTCCATACAGGTTCAGTTTCTGGACGACGGAATAAGAATCTTATTCGTCTTCGCCGTGATGCGGGCATCAAAAGGCACTTGGCACCGCGCATTCATGAATCTCCGATGCGCGATTTGCTGCTTAAACATGGAGTCGCCGCGGGAGCGTCATGGACCGGTCAGCACGCTCTCTTTATGGCGGTACATCTACGCCCGCAATTTATCTTTCCCTCCCTCTTCGTGCTCACTGCGCGCTGCCTTTCCCTTTGTCGCTTTTCTTTTCTCGCCTCCCCCGTCTCCGGCTTCGCTCCCACGTCTCGTGAATCTTGACCCCGGAAACGCTGCGAAAGGAGGGTGCGCAGGAGGAAGACGGTGGGATGTAAGAGGTGAGGGGGCAAGGGGGAAAGGGAAAAGATGGTTGAAATATCACGAAGACATTATTCGTTACCATCGCGTATCGCCACCCTCCTTATGATCGTATAAAATAGCCCTCCATCCTCATTCATAGTGACGGCAGACGCGACGAGATGCGACCGGCCGAGAGTCGCGCCGAGCCGAGCCGTTGAGATTCGCAAGATCGCACTTTAATAGGATAGCACGAGCGAAAGGAGAAAAAGAAGGAGCGAAAGGCAAGGGAGAAAACAGGATGCTTTTTTCGGTCGTGCCCGGGCCCGCCGGCATTACTCTCACGAGGACAGGAAGCACCGAGGCGCTAGGCGGGAGGGTTGAGACCTCTGAATTATCGCGCGGAGTTATTTCTTCTTTCTATATATCGTTCTTTACCTCGGGGGCGTGCACACATACGAAGCACAGGGCTGGGTACCACGCGCGGGCGGACACGGCGCTAACTCGGGCATGAAAAACCCGAGGAAAGTTATAAGAAGCTACAAATACGTTCTACACGAGCGATATTTACGCGTATACAGTTGAAACTCTATCTTCATTTTTCCTTTCAGCATTCACATTTTTAATTAAACGCAAGCCTCTTGTTTGCACGCGCTTCTAGCATATTTAGCAAAAATCAATTGGTAACAGATGTAATAACTAAAAATTACGTTTATATTTAGATATATATATTTAGATATATTGTTAAATGCATGAAAATATATATATATCTCTTCTGTTTTCTTTCGTGAAGAATGAGCGTCGCGTTGATTCTTCTAAAACCGTCCCTGGTCGCGGACCTACGTGTCCCCGTTGTTGGTTCCCGGGACCAAAATGTATGCGTTACCTACAAACCAACGGATGAAAGTTATGCGCTTTGGCCACGCTATGCCGCGTCGAGAGATATCGGGAATGGAGTCGGTCGGAAGAGAGGAAGATATGCAAAAAACCGCAACGCACATCGTCCCGCCAGAAATATTGGATGACGCGCCACACGCACTCTTCTGCGGCCATCGAAGCCGCTTTTGTTTCCTCCCTTCCTCCCGTTTTCCGTTTTTCGTTCAATGTATTTTACGAACGCCTGGCTTTCAGCCGACGTTTTGTTTTGCCCTCAACACCGAGTGGCGCGACGCGAAAGAGATTGTATCACGGCTGCAAGATCTTTCGCCAAACTTCCCCGAAATGCCACGAGGGAACTAGCGAGAAACTTTACTGTTTATGGAGAATTGATAAACGCGGCCGACGAATGTGCCGACGAAAAAATGCTATTTGCGAAGTTCACTCGAACCTTTCCTGGTTGGATTAAAAATATGCGGTTTAAATGGTATATTTTGCGAGAGTAAATATTGGACGTGCGTCCGTCATACGTCTTCATCCGCAACCGTACCCGCGGGGGGAGAAAAGAGGATACCACATGCATATTATTTCTATATTTTGTTCGAGAAAAAATGTTAGCAGTGCACAAACCAACAGGAGCAGAACTAATTCAGCAGATAGGATTGTCGACATTTCCCCGATTTTTCTTTTCCAATTAACTATAACGATTTCAAAAGGACGTTTACTTTTAAGTCTATTTTTAAATAAGAAGAACAAAATTTTGTGGCAACGTGTAAACGAATATTTCTTTAAAGATAAATTTATAAATTATTAATATATACAAATACATTATAAAACCATAAATATGGAATGGCATAAATAAAATGTATGTATAATATTAATAATCCTGAAATCAATAAATGACTGTGATAAAGATTTGCACGTGGTGGAATAAAAATGAAAAAAAATTTTATTATTTCGACGAAATGGATTATTTTTTCTTCTTGAAACATTCGCGGTAATAAAATATTTTTAGTTCGATCCTTAAAGATGATTTACCGAACAAGGAGAATTTCTTATCACATCGTATATCATACCTGAAAAAAGTACAACGAACGATTCTTCAGCATCGTTTAACGATTGTCTGAAAACTTGAATTCTCGCGCAAAAAGAGAAGAAAGAGAGAGACATTGAAAGCGTTAACGCAAG